TGTACATCCTTGAGAGAGAAGGAATAGTGTCTTAAAATTTCCAAGAAGCCACTCAAACAAATAAGCAAGCAACTCGATTTGGCAAGACTGGCAAAACTATCCAGATAGTGATTTTCACCTATTTGGCATCTCATGATTTCCTCCTGTGTCTGTTGTAGGGAATTATTGAGAGCAATTACCCAAGGCCCAAGCCCTTACCCAAGGCCCAAGCCCACACCACCAGGCTCAAGTGAGGTTCGATCCCTAAATCAATTGGTAATGGGTGGAGTACCACACTTGGGTTATATGGTGGATNTTAAGAGCAATTACCCAAGGTCCAAGCCCACACCACCAGGCCCAAGTGAGGCTCCATCCCAAAACCAATTGGTAATGGGTGGAGTAACCCACTTACGTTATATGGTGGATTTATTTTCTTCCCACAACCGATGTGGGATTTGTTTGCCCCAACAATTCCAAAAACATCTATTTCACGACGAATAGCTTCAAAAGTATTTTTGTTATCTCCTGTAATTACCGTAACACAAAAGCCAGCAGTTCGGCAATCCTTGATTGCTTGAGGGACCTCTTTGCGAGGAGGATCCTTCGAAAAATTGACATAAAAAACAAGATTAGTTATTATCTTGTTGTTCACAAGAAATAGAATATAATAGTAGGGAGTCCAAATAAAAGATGAACTCAAAAAACCAAGCTTGCAAACTCTCTCTCAAACCAGCCAAGCCAACAAAAATTAGATAGCTCTCAATTGAAGAATAATTTGCAGGATTAAGAGTTCATGAGCTGGATGGTCTTCATCGCCATTATATATAGCAAATTCCGTGAGACCCTCCCCGTATGCAAAACCCAAAACTCGTAATGCACTAGTTGACATTTCACCGAGGCTTTCCGAAAATAGGTTCTCGACTTCTGATCTAATTCTACAATAGAGCCATCTAGCAATTGCACGAAAGAGCTTCTCTCCAACAAATTCTCTACTGCACCCTGCTACAATGTATTATATAATTTATAGATATTTTTCCAAAGTAAAATCCTTGAAAAAGAGTTTGAAGATGCAGCAAATTCAGAATAAGCACACAAGTTGTATAGATAACTGGGGCTTAAACTAGTGCAGCATTGGATGGTACAAATTGTTTAATCTCTTGGTCAGTGTAACGAAGATGTCTGATTGAAGCATCTCAAAACATGACTCATTGACAGCCATGATTCGGTAATCTTCTTTTTAGTGGAACTAATTATAGAAACCGTAAGGTGGCTATCTTAAACAAGAATAAAAGAAACACAGATTGCACCTTTACAAGCAGGGACTTTTTCCCTGAGCTGTAACGCGCAATGACTCCCATGGATTTCCTATCCCGATCAAACTCAAGGGTGGCAATCAGCTATTCAATTCTATCCCACATATGGCAGCAATCTTGGATGCGTCCAAATAAAACATATACACATCAGCATATTAACTTATGATTTTTATAAGAGAATTCAGTAAGGTACAGAAACTTACTTACTACACCATCATAAACCGTGGAGGCACCTGAAGGCAATCCACTTGGAAGGCCATTTTCTCAACCAGAACCTGAACATTAAACAATCTTTTCAAGAGTATTTTTCATTCAACCATTGGTTGCTGACTCCTTGCAGCAAAAAGCATGCAAGAAGTGTTGATACAGACATCAAAAAAAGGATACTGCCCAGGCATCAAGCATGCAAGAAATGCTCAGAAATGTTCATACAGGCATCAAGCATCCACCATCTGTGAGCAAATGATGTAAGAGGTAAAGAAAAAATACGTTGTTAGAAATTGAGCCAATTGTTAAGAATTACATATCGCTCCGATACCACTTATTATGATATTGAAGATGAGAAATAATAAGACAATATGAAAATAACAATCATAAGAATACAAGATTTACGTGGAAATCCAAGACAAGAAAAACCACGAGCAGGCACGAAGAATTCACTATATCAAAAGTAAGGAGTACAAGGGATTTCTCTGGACCAAATAAGAAGTTGGACAATTGATCAATTTCAATATGTGTTGTAAACCACATATTTATAATCAAAGAATCCTTAACACAAACACAAGTGAAGCCTTATTACAATAGGTAATACCAACAATAGAGTATTTGAGTTGAAATAGGAGCCCAACACACTGCTTTGACTCATTGTAGTCTCTTATTTCTTTAAGACTTCTCCAAATCAAACAACCAACTCTAAATATACCTTCAAAACAAAATTCGTGTTATACCAAAATTCTAACAAATCTCCACTTTGACATGAATTCCACTGCAATGAACTAAAGTTAAACAATTCTCCACCTGAGACGAATTCCATTGAAGGAATAAAATTTAACTCCTAAACTTAAACAAAATTCTCCAAATAAAACACTCCACCAAATTATTCAACCTTTTCCACAAACCTCAACTAGGGCAAACTCAGCAATTGTGAACTGAATCCAAACACTATTTACCGGCAGAATTATCTTGGGAACCAAACTTTTTCGAATCACCACGAACAACAAAATCATCAAGTTCACACCTAACTCCATCAGAGTTACCAAATTTGCTCGAATTATTTCCATGAGCAACAAGATCATTAAGATCACAACTAATTCCTTGCGTTGCTTTTCCTTCGGCGTCCAAACAAAATCTGCCATAACAAAAATTTGGTGTTGCAATCCAGAAGCAGCATATCAAACTTCATACTTGCCATCCGAAATAATCTAACATCGTTTTGATTTGATCAAATCTTGCTCTAATATGAAACTGAACTGGCTCTCCCATGAATTGCCCATCATGATACCAATTTGTTAGAAATTGAGCCAATTGTTAAGAATTACGTATTGCTCCGATACCACTTGCTATGAATATTAAAGATGAGAAATAATAAGACAATATGAAAATAACAATCACAAGAACACAAGATTTCCATGAAAACTCAAGACGGGAAAAACTATAGGCAGATGTAAAGAATTCATTATATCAAAAGTAAGGCGTACAAATGATCTTTCTAGACCAAACTTATAAGTTGAACAATTGGTCAATCTCAATATGTGCTTACATCACATATTTATAATCAAAGAATCATTAACACATTAGGAGAATATAATACAAATAAGAGTCTAACTGTCACGACCCGTCCCGAATCACTCTAATGGACCCGACACGTGTCGTGCGCCGATGGTGGGACCGGTAGATACCAGCTAAGTGCCGGTCCCACCATTAAGGCGACTATGACCTGCTTGACAGTGACACATTTTTATAAAAAATTGACAGAGTTCCCTTTGCAATATGGACTAAAACCACCTAAATAATAATGAACTAAATAAACTAACAAAATGATTCATATAACTAATGACAATGTGTGTGGCTCAAATCGGTAGACTAACAGGCTCCAAAGCTACTCAACTCAGCAACTACCTGTTAAGGAAAGAGGCAATCAAAATCTATGAGTTTGCAACTCAGTGAGTAGATAGTTCGCAAATATACATATTTACTGAAAAGTCTAATTTACTTTCTTACCACTTTAAAAGATTCTAAACTCTAATCATTTCTTTTAGAACTGAAACATACTAAAATCATAAAATTCTTACTGTTTACTCTGAATAACCAACCATAAAATGTGTCAAATGTAGGTAATTTATATCGACAACAATCTGGGTAAAGACGTCATTTCTGTAAGTTAAAATCATACTTCTGTACCAAATAAGCTGAATTATATAATTTGAAATGAACTATTATCTGATATTTGAAAATTTGTATCATAACATCGTATAAATTCATAATGCTAGTGCTCAATCATAAATTAGGCTCAAGCTAATATCTAAAAATGATAATAATTGATACAACACAATGAGTAAGTACACTAGTCAAATTCAGTAAGCTACAACCATAATCTGAAATCAATAAGCTGATCTGTAAGCTAGATAATGTAAGCTGCAAGCTAATAA